GACAGAGTTATGCTCTTGTTGCCCAGGCCAGAGTGCAATGGCACAATCTTGGCTTACTGCAACCTCTGCCTCCTGGGTTCAAGCAATTCTCCTGCCTCAGCCTCCCAAGTAGCTGGAATTATAGGCATGTGCCACCATGCCCAGCTAATTTTTGCAATTTTAGTAGAGACAGGGTTTCACCATATTGGTCAGGCTGGTCTCGAACTCCTGACCTCAGGTGATCCACATGCCTCGGCCTCCCAAAGTGCTGGGATTGTAGGTGTAAGCCACCACACCCAGCTCTGTCGCAACTTCTCAACTGCCTTTGTAGCACCAGAACAGCCACAGCCAACACTAAATTGAATGAATGTGACTGTGAGCCAATAAAACTTCATAAAATCAGCTGGTGGGCTGGATTTGGGCCTCCACCCATAGTTTGCCAACCCCTACTTTGGATTCACCCTTTTATTCAGTCCTTGCAAATAACCCATTCAAATGGGTATTAGCTCCAGTCTACAGAAAAGGAAACCAATGCTCAGAAGGTCTACGCAGCAAGTAGGTGGCAGAACAAACTTTGGAACTCAAGTCTGACTCTCCCAGAATAAACAAGAGAAGCCAGTTTTGAAACATGGTGAGAGATATAAGAGCCATTTTTAGCCATCCTGAGTTTGTAATGAGTCTAATTTTAATTTAGCAACTTTTCAGCACTGGGTATTTATAAGCATCATTTCATATCATCCCAATGACTATGCTATGAAATATTTACTGGCTATATTTTATGGAGGACAAAATTGAGTTCAGCGAGGTCCACCTGTCTGTGGTGACACAGCCAGCGAGTAGCAGAGTGGGACACAAAGGTCAAGCTCCGGAGCTGGGCTTGCTGCTACCACAGCTGGCTTCCCAGGGGCAGATGTGGCCCACCCTGAATCAGAGTAGATGTAGACCTGTGTTTTTGTTCCCTGCCTCAGCACATGAAGTGAGAGGAAGAATCAGTGTTAGCATTTTGGGGACCTATGACTGAGCTTCAATTATAAATATTTTTTTTTATTTTAAATATATATATATATATGTATATATACACAATTTTTTCTAAATGGAGATGGGTCTCACTATGTTGCCCAGGTTGGTTTCAAACTCCTGGGCTCAAGCAGTCCTCCTGCCTTGGCCTCCCAGAATGCTGTGATTAAAGGTGTGAGCCATGGCAGTCAGCCTAATTATACATATTTAAATAAGTGTTGTCATTCACTGAAGGCATATCCTATGCCAGTCATTGAATGAAGTATTTTATATATATTGTCATTTAACCTTACTAAGAATCTTGTAAGGTAGGGAACAGAGGTTCAGAGAGGCTACGTGATTTGTCCAAAGTCACACAGCTTCTAAGTGGCACAGGTGGGATTCTAACCATCAGACCTTAGCACACCAACTCAACCTCACTGCTGTAACAGGGAATGCAACCTCAATGCCGCACTGACAGGTATCTTTTGAGCATCTACTGAATGGCCAACTCCATGATAGGTGTTAACAAAACAAGTGGTAAAAAAAAAAAAAAAAAAAAAAAAAAAGCACATAGGGTCTCTGAGACCATGGAGCAGATTGATGGGGAAGACAGGCAGGCAGTCCCAGATGAGCACTGAATAACAATGGAATTACAAGCAGTTAAGAGCTGGGAAGGAAAGTAGGGCTCCCAGAGACCTGGGTGTGAAGGGTGAAGGACAGCCTCAGGGTCAGATATTTTAACTGAGCCCTGCAGGAGGCCTCAGATAGGCCAAGAAGGAAAGAAAGAAGCTAAGACTGTTCCCAGTAGAGGAAGGGGCCTGTGCAGAGGTTCTGAGGCAAGCAGTACTGAGCACTTCAGCCTGATCAAGGAACAGAGAATGCTGGAGTGGCTCAAGCAGAGTAAGTTAGTGCAGTGGGGACGATGAGGTCAGAGGGAGGTGGGCAGAGCCGCCAAGGAAACCTGTTTTACCCTGCATGGGATGGGGAAGAGCCTGAAGGGTTAGGAATGGAAAGACATGGTCAGATTTGCATTTTAAATACAAGGTCTACATGCCTATCACTCTGGCTACCTGAGGGACGGCCCAAGGGGATTCTGGGGAATCGATTGTGCTAGTCAGTGGCTATAGTGGCTATAGACTGTGATAGTCAGTGAGGGAGATGACAGAGCCAGCTCCAGAAAAGCAGGGAGATGTGTTCTGGAGGCGGGGCTGGCAAGCTGGGTGATAGATTCCACATGGGGATAAGTGGACATCAGAGGGAACTCCCACACACAGCAGACTGAGGGGACCCTTCATAAGGGGGAAGGGGGACATCAGGAGTCCCTTTGAACATGCTGGGGCTCAGGCATCTCCTTGTATCAAGTCAACTGGATACATAGGTCTGAGTTGGAGATTAAAATGTGGGAAGAGGTGGCATATTGATGGTATTTAAAGCCCGGGAAAAAACGAAATTTCCTGAGAAGAAAGAGGATTTGCAAGACAGGGAGGCCTAAGAATTCAGAAGAATGCTACCATTTAGAGAGCAGCAGAAGACGGGAAGAGATGGCTCCCAGGGCCTGCAGAGGCGAGGATGGAGAACGTTTCCAGGGGATGGAGAACAATACACAGATTAGAATGCTATTCCTATAAATGCAAATCTTGTCTAACAGCTTGTGTCTGGATGAGACGGAACTGTCTCAGCTGTCTGTCAGAAGTGCCTGATGAGGTGGGGTCAAGCAGTGTTCTTTCATCTTAAACATTTCTGAAGCCTTTGAAAGTAGGACCATATGTTACTGTTGAGTCTTTTTTTTTTTTAGGAATGCATTGCTGTGTTGAATGCTGTTGAGAGGTCCAAAAGCACTAAGGAGCGTCCCCCAAGACCACGTCTAAATGCATCAACATGGACAGCTCTTTAAAAGCCACTGAGGCTGGGCCAGATGCGGTGGCTCATGCCTGTAATCACAGCACTTTGGGAGGCCAAGGCGGGTGAATCACTTGAGGTCAGGAGTTCAAGACCAGCTGGTCAACATGATGAAACCCCTTTCTACTAAAAATACAAAAATAGGCTGGGCATGGTGGTATGTGCCTGTAATCCCAGCTACTTAGGAGGCTGAGGTGGGAGAATCACTTGAACCCAGGAGGTTGAGGATACAGTGAGCCGAGATTGTGCCACTGCACTCTAGGCTGGGCAACAGAGCAAGACTCCATCTCAAAAACAAACAAAAAAAACTCCACTGAGTTTAAAACTATTGTAGAATAGTACATACTACATGCCACAAGAACACCTTTTATGTATTGTTACAAAATCACAAAATATTTGATACATATTTTGTAGATCATTTACATATTTTTTAAACACTATATATCCACCAAAACCATCCTAGTGATTATCTGTGGAGACATAAAGCCGATGGCCTACTTTCTTTTTGGGTCAATGAATCAACCTGTTAATTGATATGTATTATTAGTTCACAGTTCATGTTTAAAGTGCTCACTGGATCCTCCAGATCACTGCAGACGTTAGTAAGAGAAAATCCTTTGGCGTAGTGACAATGGAGGCTGGGAGGCAGTGGCTTAAGAAAGGAGTGATGAGGAAAAGAAAAAATGGGGGTGGACAGACAAGTGCAGACAACTCTGTTGAGTTTGGTCACACAAAAGGAGCAAGGGATTGGGCTGGAGGAGGATGTGGTGTCCAGCAAAGGCTTTTTAAGATGGGAGGATGCTGAGGGAAACAGCAAGAGAGGGCAAAGACAGGGGCAGGAGACACAATGGTAAAGAGACACAAGGGCAAGGAGACATAAGGGCAAGGACAGGGTCAAGAGACACAATGGTCCTTGGGCAGGTGGCTGTGTGGACCAGAGTCCCTGAACAAGCCATGGCCCTGGCACCTGTCCAAAGGATGTCTGTCTGCACATCCAGCCTTAGTTCACCCCAAGCCCTCGGTCAGTGTCCACTAGGGCACAACGCTGTTAAGCAAGGCACAACGCTGTTAAGTTATGGCCGACCAGAAGAGGGCAGCATTGCTCTTCCAAGAAAAGCTGTAAGTCCCAGGAGCTACCTCCAGAAGCCTACCAAAGGGTCTGCATGATTCCCATTGCAGAGAGAGGGCTTAGGCCTCCCCTAGCCCCTGCAGTTGGCTGTGGGCATCCATCACTGGCTGAATCCCAGCTCCACTATCCTCTCCCCAAGGACCTTGCAAAAGACAGAGTCCAGGCCGGGCGCGGTGGCTCACGCCTGTAATCCCAGTACTTTGGGAGGCCGAGGCGGGTGGATCACGAGGTCAAGAGATCGAGACCATCCTGGTCAACACGGTGAAACCCCATCTCTACTAAAACTACAAAAAATCAGCTGGGCATGGTGGCGCGTGCCTGTAATCCCAGCTACTCAGGAGGCTGAGGCAGGAGAATTGCCTGAACCCAGGAGGCGGAGGTTGCAGTGAGCCGAGATCGCGCCATTGCACTCCAGCCTGGGTAACAAGAGCGAAACTCCGTCTCCAAAAAAAAAAAAAAAAAAGACAGAGTCCGAGGCGACTCAGCAGGACTCAAGCTGCCACCACCCTGGTATGGCACCTCCATCCCTCCTTTCCTTATACGTTAAATATGTCCTCAGCAGGGTATGGTCAGAATCTCCATAAAAAAAATAATTACCTCACGAGGCTGTTTCGAGAATAAAATGAGATCATGTACAGAAAACACATGGCAAAGTGCCTGGCATAACAGACGCACTCAGCAAAGGGCAGATGCTTCTCCAGTTCCCGCTGTCATCAAGGTCTCTCTTAGCCTTAACATCCCACAACTCTGCCCTTTCTGCCAGAGAACCAAGTGCCTCCCCCCGGGGTTTCTGAAGCAGAAAACTTTAGGCAGTGGGGTTTGGTCCTGTTTTCACCTAGACCTCGGGGACTGAGAGGATCCTGTTCCTTCTCACCCCACGTGGAGGCCAGGGACACTGCAGGAAGAAGCGGAAGTGCTTCTGCTACCCACAGACAGCCAACCCCACAGTGTCCTCAACTGTAGAACAGCCGTCTCTTCCCCTGTGTACCTCACAGGGCTTCATGGAATATGTGCATGAAACAAGGTGTGCAAAGTACGAACTAACCCAAAGACAAGGGGAAGCACCTCGTCTACCATGAAAGGCATTAACATTCAGTCCCTGCTACAGGTTAACCTGCTCGTTCTGATCATCCCAGCCGGGTGCACACTTCTCCCCAACCTGGAGTTGCTCCTACACTGTCATCCTGCCCAGGACTCCAGGAGTCCTTTCTAGAACTCTCCTCACAACTCCAGCCATATGACGCAACTATTATTAACCACCAAGAAAATGGTGCTAACGACAATATCACAAACCAGTGCCCACCAGACTTGCTCCCACCTCAGGGCCTTTGCACTTGCTGTTCCTGCTGCCTGAAACGCCCTTCCCCTGGTTATCCACCTGGCTTGATCCCTTGGCTCTTTCGGGTCTGTATTCAAGTCTCAATGAAGTGTTCCCTGGCCAAACCATCTAAAGGTGCAGTCCTCTCTCCCAGCATTCCTTACGTCCCTTTCCTGCTTTTTTTCCACAGCACTTTCCATCTAAAATACTAACTATTTTCATCATTTCATCTGTTTATTTTTTTGTAAACAAGCTCCATGAGGGAAGGGCTTTGGTTGTTTTATTTTGTTCACTGCCAAATCCCCACCTAGAATAGCACTTGGCCTCAGAGGAGATACCCAATTAATATTTGCTGAATCCATAAATGAGATAGTTTCAAAGCTCTACTTAGTTGAAATTTTATAGCTTAAAGGCTTTTATCTGGCAAGGACAGAGTGGAAATAGATAAACTAAGCATTCAACTCAAAGACAGCTCTGCCCAGCACAGTCACTACCACATTGTAGGAGTTCAATGGATACTGAATGACAGTACATAAGCAAAGTTCATCTAAAATGGCCATGCGCGGTGCCTCACACCTATAATCCCAGCACTTTGGGAAGCTGAGGTGGGCAGATCACTTGAGGTCAGGAGTTCGAGACCAGCTGGCCAACATGGTGAAACCCCATCTCTATTAAAAACACAAAAAAAATTAGCTGAGTGTGGTGGTGTGCGCCTATAATCCCAGCTGCTTGGGAAGCTGAGGGCAGGACAATTGCTTGAACCCAGGAGGTGGAGGTTGCAGTGGGCCAAGATCACGCCACTATACTCCAGCCTGGGCAACAAGGCAAGACTCCGCCTCAAAAGAAAGAAATCTAAAGAGAGCAGGAGGGAATGAAGATAACAGCAGAAATCAAATTAGAAAGACAGAATTGGTGGCAACAACAAAACTACAAGGACTAGTTAGGAAAATACAATGTTACACATTGTTATTATAAAAGGAAAAAGAAGGCCGGGTGCCGTGGCTCACGCCTGTAATCCCAGAACTTTGGGAGGCCGAGGCC